GCGGGGTAAAAGTCAAATCAATCAATAAATAAATATCATGAGGGGCAGGTTCTCTAAATCTGGATTGGGGTGGGAACAGGTGGAACCTTCCTTTATTCAAATGCTTTGCCCAGATGCTGTGGCCTTATGCTGGAACCCAATGCAATAAAAGAATCTCTCTTATATATAATTGCCGAATGGTGGTGGCTTCTGTCCTATGGGGTGGCGAGATTGCATGCGCTCCCTCAGCCATTGGCCTGTTGGCTGCCAGTCAAGACTACTGGCGTGCCCTTGGCCGGGTGTGATCCTCTACCCCGCCCACTCCCCTTTCAGCCACTGTGCTCTGTGTCAGAAGCACTCTGTCTCCCAACAAACACACTTCTCTTGCCTAGCTCCTGTCTGGGACAAAGGTTTCCCTCAGTGGCTCTGTTGTGAGCAACTCATAGGGTTGCCAGCTCCAGGTAAGGAAGCCAGTTTAAGGAAGCCAGACTTTGGGGAGGGGAGAGGGGAGGCCTCAGCTGAATAGAGTGTCATAGAGGCCACCAGCCAAAGAATTCTAACTTCTCCCTCAGTGGCTGTTGGTAGCCAACCAAGCTTGGTTCTGCCAGTAAATAGACAAAGGGACAAAACTCTTTCTACGCTTCTGTGAGGAACTTATTGGGCCCAGTCCTGAGTATGGTTGCCAGCTCCAGGTCTGGAAATTCCTGGATATTTGGGGGTGGATCCCGAGGAGCCCTCACAGGATCCCTCCCCCAAATCTCCAGGTATTTCCCTACTCAGAGGTGGGAAGCCTACTTTCCCTTCAGTGCCTGCTGCTGGTCAACAAAGCTTGGTTTCTGTCAGTAAAAGGCCCTTTACACACCTATTTTGGCCTTGGGAGAAAACTCATTGTGTTCTTCTACCCTGCTGACAGGCCTCTCCCCCCATTACAGCCAAGGTGATGTGGCAGTCAGGGCTTCAGAGCACAGCAGAGGCTGCAGGTGTGGGGGAGAGATGAAAAGCTGAACAGTGAGGGGGAAATGAAGGTAGGTTGATGATTGGCTGGGAAGGAGATAGGGTTTCCAGCTCCAGATGGAAAATTCCTGGAGATTTGAGGGATGGAGTCTATACAGGGTGAGGTTTGAGGAGGAGTGGGGCTCAGACAGGTACAGTGCCATAGACTCTGCCCTACAAACCAGCTATTCCCTCATGGTGAACCACTATTGCCAATCTCCAGGTGAGGGCTGGAGACCACTCAGAATTACAACTGCTCTCCAGATGGCATTGGTCCATTCCCCTGGAGAAAATGGTGGACTCTGTGTCCTTATACCCTGCTGAGGTTGCCATAGCAAATTGATGCTGAGTGCCCACGGCCTTGGCACTCTCCCAGAGCCTCTTTCTAAAGCTCATTCTATTTATTTCCACAATGGGCCTTATTCATGATGATGATGATGATGATGATGATGATGATGATGATGATGATGATGATGATGATGATGATGATATGCCGCCAAGTCACAACCAATTTACGGCCACCATTTATGGGGTTTTCAAGGCAAGAGACAAGCAGAAATGGGTTGCCATTGCCCTCCTGGTCTTCCTTAGTGATCTCCCGTGCAAATACTACCTGTGGGCATCCAAGTACATAACTCAGCTTCCAAGTGCTAGCTCAGATTTCCCTCTCTATTTACATGCCCTGTCAGATGTTAAAATATAGGACATGCTTCTCAATTTAGGATGTTATAGATCTCTACAGAGTGCCATCAACTTGCAACTTTTCCCAGCTCTTCAGGTGAGCACATGAAGAGTTCTTTCTGTTCTGATTAACAGAGTTCTTTCTGTTCTGATGGACTCAGCACAAAAGAGACCTTCCTCCTTGATCCCCTGGGTTTTATCACCTCTCTTTTGGTAAGGCCAGGTCAAAGAGGTTTTTCCTGGAGATTCTTCCTGGAGTTCCTTCCCGAAGTCTCTCTAGTATTTAATTAATTCCTCCAAATCTCTGCTTGGTGAGGGGGACTGGACCCTCCTATTGTCTTTAGCTAGACCTATTAGCATTTCTTAAGAGGCAGCTGAGGTGAGCCTGAAAAGCCATTGACTGACTTCCTCCTCCCTCCCTGTTCTCTGCCCAGAGTGGAGAAAAAACTTTTTAAAAACACAAACTGAAGGTTTTGCTCATTTATACCTCCAAAGGAAAAAAAAAATGCATTTCTGCACACCTGTCAAAGGGAGAGGATGGATGATAGTCATGAAAACCTGACCAGGGGTATGGAGATGTGGGATACGTGCCAGGTAACCTGACTGCAAGAGTTTGGGATATCTCCCATGAGGGACAAAATTCCTAACTCTGGATTGGAGGGAGGTTTCCATCAAAGCAGATCTTAAAAGGTGGAATCTTCCTGTGTTCTTTGTTCATATACTTTTCTGGATGCTGGGACCTATGCTAGGACTGAAGGTCCTCTGCAAAGGGGGAAGATAGGGAGTTTGGGGATGTGTTTGCCTCACCTAAGGTAACTGTCTTGTACTGTAACTTAGCTAGATTTATGTTTTTGTATTCTCCTTAGACCTATACTCACTAGGATGACAGCTATTTTCCATGTATATGCTCTAGTTTAATCTTTTGTAATAAAGTTTATTTCTGGTTATGAAAGTAGACTATGATTCATATCTTAACCATATGTCTAGACCACTCATATATGCTAAGAACATTCATGCGGGTGGGTGGGGCTAAAGTAATTGGAAAGCTCTGCCCTTTGTACTTTCTCAGAGGCAGCCATTCCAGGGTACTTCAAGGCACTGGTTATGTGACAAGCTGGGTTTTGTAATTTGGTGGTGGCATACATACACAAATCACACATGTAAGAAAACACAGACTCAGGGCAGCTTTACGATAATTACGGGTTCAAAAAGTAAACTCATTTATCACATGGGTATCCCACAAAAAAACTGCAGCTGTACCTTGTTTACCAATGCTTTGACTAACGTGAAATTTTCATTAAACACATGCAGAATTTGTGTTATCTGACCTGAAAGTGAAATAGAATATTGTTTCCATTGTGGTTGTAAAAACGTATTATTTTGTAAAAATAGCAAGTATCTCCATATAGAATAATCCTTTTCTCTTAAGATGTTCAGTCTTTCCTTAATGGGGGGGATGGGGATGGTAGAATCGATGCATAATCAGCAAGGTAGAACAAAAAGAGATTTTCTGTGCAGGCATCCTCTGTGATAGTATCTGGAATCTAGCACAGGTACCTGATCTTAACCATACTCACCTACTAGTTCAAAATAATCAGAAATTTAACTTAGCTTGATAAAACAACCAGTTATAAACATGTGCACAATATATAAACAATTATCAAATTACAGTTCACAGGTAGTATCTTTTATTTCAGTTCACAGGTAGTATCTTTTATTTCCAGTTGTGTAACATAGAAGAGCATCTTCAAGGGAGGGCCCAATCGGTGCTGTTTCAGAGAACAATGATCACACTGTCCAACTCAGAAGATTTTCAGTGACCCACTGCTTGTTCTCCACAGTATCCCGAACAAAATCATGCATTCATTATAGTATTTCCTATGGCTAATGTTTGTTCTATGGGCAGATAAATGCCCATAAATGAATCAAGGATCCCTTCCCCCTCCTACTCCTCAGTTCACCCCTAAACAATTCCAGAAAACTGAAACACCCTTCAAAGCAGCATCTGGCACAGCACAAGCATGCAGAAGAGAAAACTGGTGACCTCTCCATGCACGTGGCTCTTTGGACCCCAGTTCCCGGTCTGCGTTTAAAAAGAGGAATGGAACAATGAGATTTCACAATTTACCTAAAGGCCATTTGTCAGTTTGCCCCCACTGAATGCATAAAGAAGCCATAACAGTCCATGATAACCAAGACTGCACTCTGTTCCTTCTGAATGGCAGAGATCCTGGGAAAACACTTGCTTCCTGCAGTGCGGACAAGTTTACTAGTCTGCAAAAATTCCATGTGTATCTGCAAAGTCTTCTCCACTGACAGAGCCCTGAAACCGAGATACAAACACACATTAGGCCAGTCTGACAAAGTCCTCCAGTTACCCAGCTTTGAGTTCTATCATCCTATCACCAGTCCAGCTACGATGGTACTCGTCATGTATTCAGTGTTTATAAACACATTAACTGTATAAAGTCTACACAGCCGCCAGCTGGTATTTACTTATAGTGATGATGTGTACATATCCTTGCAGATGGGATGGCAGTCAGAGCCTTTTAAAGGGCTATATGCCCGCCACGTGCAGTGGCAGCTCAGACCGGTCCTCTTCAGAGGCCCCCACCCACAGATGACTGTGTCTAAGTTAGCCCTTTTATAGAAGACCATTGAACTCCTTGCCATTTCCAGTTTTCCACAATTCCTATGAAGATAAAGTAAAACTGAAGTAATTTAGTTATGGTGCTTTCAGTCAAGCAAACATTTTAGCTCTTTGTTAGTAATTGGTTGGGTTCAAACAAAGTGCCTGCAATTCTTACTGATGTTTTTGTCTCTCTACCCCCTTAAGTTTTTGAAGTTTTTTTTAATTATGTTTACTGAATTGCTTCCTTTTAACCATAGATTAGTTTATCTCTGTTTCAGTCAGATGAATTCAGCCAGTAAGGTCTAGTGGTTAGAGTGTTGGACTAGGATCCGGAAGACCCAGGTTCAAATCCCCCCACTCTATCATGGAAGCTTGCTGGGTGACCTTGGGCCAGTCACACCCCCTGTTGCGAGAATAAGATGGGGAAGAATGGCCACATATAAATGAAGAAAATAAAGTGTTACTGTCATTGAAAAATAACTGAATTCAAAGAAGAAAATTTGTTTTATAGAAATACCTTCTTTCCACTTTGACAATTGTACAAGATACCAACAGCTGAAAAATCCCTGGTTTTACAACTGTGAATGGGACTCAATAAAACTTTGTGAGTCAACAAAGGTGAACACTGGATGCCTTACCTCAAATGGCTCATCATAGAGAGAACTGTGTGCTCCATACATTGGATTTGGGATGGACACCAAGGCTGGGCTCCTTTCCTCCCAGGGCAAAGGCCCTTCATCTTCCAGCTCAGCCTATAAACAAAGGACAAACAGATCAGGCATCGCTTTGCCGTTCAAAGAGCAGTACTGATGAATTGATTAGAAATGGGCAGAGCCAACACCTCTTCCGCGTACAACATTGATACTTTGGAAAGTATTCAAAATGTATCCTGAAAATTATCCCAGTGACCATTACCACAATCCTATAAACAAAGTCAGAATTTATCCCTTTGTCAGAGAGGGAAGGGGTGAACGTGAGGCTTTGCCAAAAGCCATTCATGGCAGAGTGCTGAGATTTGAACTGCAGGCCTCAGCTCTACGCTACGGCTAGATTTGCTTCCCTAATCCTGATTAGCATTTTCCTTGACTGATCTTGTACAACAGTGGAAAATGCAAGTTTCTCAATGATCATAATTACACAGGATTTATTCTCCTGGGTTTTTGAGCTCATTAGTGTCAGCCAAACATAACTGCAATACAAATTCCTGCTCTTAAATTTATTCACAGATGCACTGCTGTGGGTTCTAAAGGACTACCAAGCAATCTCTTGTGACCAGAAATAAGATTTATAACCAAATGGCAGAAATAACATCAAAGGAAAGAAGTCTGTTGGGGGGGCTAAGAGTAATTATAGAAGCCGGACAGAAGCACATGAAAGGAGTACAATCCTTTCCTATCAAACATGTCATGCAAATACCTTCAGGTAGCGAAACTGGAATCCCTGATTCTTTCTTCTGAGGTAGTAGTAGTAGGCTCCAGCAATAGCTACACATAGCAGCACTAAAGCAACAACAGTACTCACACTGATGGTTACAGCAGAAGCAGATGCTTTTATAGCACCCAACACCTGAAAAAGCAAATATGCTAATGCTTGAAAACCTTAGACAACAGGGCAACTTCAGCGCATTTTAACCTGCCAGTCGCCTTTCATCAACGATCCCTTTTGCCAAAGTACTGTGCCTTTATACAGCAACCGATATAAATACCATTGTCTGACCATTAGCTGGCGCTCTCTCATTTTAAAACAGCTGTCAGAACAGGAGGTGAGAAACCTTGCTCTCTTCAGAGAGACGGATACAGACAGTAGCCAGTATCAGTGGGGAGAGTGGTCCTTGACCCGCTTCAGAAGACTGTATTCCCTTCCCTGTCTCTGCTGTTGTTCCATTAAGATCATTTTGCACCTTAAACATTCCCTACTGAACAAAGAGTGTGCTGGGTGGGAGTGGACCACGATATCAATTAAAGATTTGCTATTAAAGATTAGCTCTGGTTATTTGCTTTCACTTTGTCTGCCATTGTATTTACTGGTCTGAATTGACAATCGCCACTTCCACACGGCTTTTTCCCCCCTGCACCTTTGCTTCCAAACTGGCCTGAAACACTTCGATGTTGTTTTTGTGCAGCATCCACATAATATTGTCCTCCTTCCAGGTTTTCCCCACCTGAGGTATGCTCTTTGTCAAACCTGCTTCACTTGATCTTTTAGGAAAGAACACAATCCAAGCATATTCACTCAAGCCATCTGGATGTGAAGGCTGTATTTCAAAGGTGCCATTCACATCAGTACCATTTTCCTACTATCAGCTCCTTGTGGCTGTAATTTCCCCTACAGTAATTACTGGTTGTTGTTTTTTACCCCTTTAATACTATAGAAGAGGAAACGACATCTGGAAAGTACTCCTGGGAGAACTCCTGTGTTGGCAGCACTGTAGCTACTGCAAACACCTCTGCATTTGCAATGAAAGTACCACAGGGAAGCCATACATCATGGATGCTGCCAATGCTTACTGAAAATAATAAAATATGTGCAAGGAAGCATTGGGAAGTATAAAAACTGACAGAGAAGGTAGATTTCACAACCAAATCCTTTAATCTACTGGGCAAGCAGGGGGTGTAAGGACCTTGTCATATTTGTAACAATGAGATTTTGGTTTCACACTGGAGCAAACCCACCACAGAATGTCATAAATAAACCAGCAACCAACCTGAACAACATGCCCATATTGAAGTGGTACTGTTAATGGTGTTTCAATAGCATGAATTATCCCATTGGAAGCCAGAATATCCCATTCAACAATCATTGTGTTATTAACCACCTTAGAACCCTGGTAGAATAAAAGTGAAGAAAACTATATTAATAAATCATTCATTTAAAATAAATTCTACTTAAAAGAGATCGTAAGCATTGCGAGGCAAATTTGATATCAAAACAGTATTTTGTTCTGTCGGTGCAGTACGTAAAGAGAAAACTTACCCTGCCCAGTTATCTACAGGTACTCACCGGTGGGTGGGTGCTGTTGACGGAGTCTGCAATGGAAAGGCTGTATCCTGCTTGGGAAGCTATAAGTGTTCCAGATGTGAGATTGAAGCTCAGGAGAGGCTCATCGCTCACTGATACATGAAGCTTCAGGTCACTCAGTGTTAATGACTGGTTAAAAAAAAAAGTTTCAGTTCCATTTAGTTATTATATTGATAAAAAGACAGTTTGATTGTTGAACTCCTAAAGGGGAGAGAAAAATCATAGCAAACAGTACACTGCTTTTAGTTCCGCAATGATTTCTTTCATATACATGCTCATTTGGGGCACAGCAGATGGGTGTCAATTGAACAGACACGGGGTTGGGCCAGTGACATAAAACCAATACATTTCATTGGTGGATGTCAGGAATCATAGAAACCTTTGGGTAGTCAAAGAAGCGATGAAAGAGATTAAAATTACACTACAGGATTATGAGTGCTTCTCAGGTTTAAAGGTTAATATGGCCAAATCAGAAATTATGTACCTTAGAATAGTAATGGATGCAATTGAATATTATGAAAAACACCCAGAAAAAGAAGTAGCTTTTCTGTTTGTTGATGCAGAGAAGGCTTTTGACAATCTTAATTGGAATTTTAGGCTTCAGATGATGGAGAAAATAGAGACGGGACAACAGTTTAGAAATTGTATTGAAGCTATCTACTCTGAACAAAAAGCAAAACTGAATGTGAACAAAGAATTGACAGATAACTTCAAGGTACAGAAAGGAACAAGGCAGGGTTGTCCTTTGTCACCGTTATTATTTATCTGGGTGCTTGAAATACTTAGGAACAGAGTGATTAGAGAATGGGTATTTGGTAGTAAGAAGTGCAGAACCCAAAAGAGGTTGATATATGGTCCCAAAGTGGAGCTAGGTTGGGGAGTCCCGGAGCTAAATAACTATTATGAAGCCTTCCAAATAAAGTCCCTATTAGAGATAGGTGAAGGTGAAGGGCAAAAATGGGTTAGATTTGAAAACGAGATCAACAAGAACATTGGCTGCTGGGGGCCTTTTCGCAAAGTCACAAAAAAAGACCTCAAACTAACCAAAGGTCCCAGATATGCAGCCCTAGAAGCGTGGAGTAAGTGGCAAGAGCTATGGCTAAGAAAAACTTCAAGATGGGCACCATTAAAATCTATAAATAGTGAAATAACAGGTAGTGAATGGTGGGAATGGCTAAAAGCTAAAGGTTATCATAGACTGGGAGGCATGTTCAGAGGAGGCAATCTAAAACCGGTACAGGAGATAATAGAAGAGGTGGGCAACCAACACTGGTTAAGAATAAATGGCTTGTATAGTAAGGTTAAAAAGATTAAGGAGAAAGAGAAAAGTTGTTCAGAGGAACCAATAGAAACATTATACAAAGAGATGCAAAAGTCAAAACAAGGTCTAGCAGGGAAAATTTACAAGGAAATTATATCAAATGAAGACAAGTCAATATCTTATCTACAAAACACTTGGGCCAAAGAAGGGCAGATAACAGAAAGCATGGCAAGTAAAATAATGAAAGGAATCGAGGAAATCAAAGTGATTAAATTTAATGAAATGGAGCATAAATTTCTTACTAAATGGTATAAAACACCAGCACAAATAGCAAACATGTTCCCAGGTATGAGTCCTAGATGCTGGCATTGTAAACAATCGAAGGGATGGTATTCCCATATGTGGTGGGAATGCCCAGAGGTCAGTGTTTTCTGGACAAAGATACTACAAATTATAAAAAAGACATGTAAAATATCATTGCCCAGCAGCAACAATGCAGATTTCTGACTCCCCACCAACACACACACATTTGGACTGGTGCTATGGCAGTGTCCCACATTACAGGGACTCTGGGACATGTAGTTTTCCAAGGCCATTTGATGTCAGGCACCCAGAGAAAACTTCATTTCCCAGGGTGCCTTGGGCCTCTGTTACAGCAATATTTATTCCAGATTTCAAGGAGGAAAGATACCTATAGACCCCTCTGCCCCCACAGCAACAGCCATGACTGTTGGAGCCGCCGCCGCTGCCTTTTGCAACTGCTGCAGCAGTTGTGAAGTGAGGCAGGTTTGGGAGCATGGGGAGGCATCAATAATGGCCAAAGTTAAAACACCTGAAGGAGGAAGGATGCGCATTCTCCAGAATTGCTAGAGAAAGATCCATACCAAATCAAGCTGGGAGAGGGGGAGTTTTCTTATCTTTGTAACCGCACACTGTTTTCAGAATAATCACTGAAAGTTCAAGCAGGCATACTTCTGATGATAAATTGCAAAGCTATCACTGAAGGTGCTGAGAATTCTCTGTTGCAGATCCTAGTTCCCTACAGTACCAGAATTCCTTGGGGAAAAGAAATAAGCATTAAACTAATCTCAGTTTGCAATATAGATTGTCTTCAGTCTAGAGGTCATTATGTACTTCTTACTGTATTATCGCTAAAGCCAGAGTTCAGGGGTACAAAAAGGGTTTTATACGTGGTGTCATCAGAAAGGAGATTCAGAAATTCCAGTCCTTCTTGGGTGGTATTGCCATACTCCAGTAACATCTGAAACAGAGAAAGGAACCTGGCTCTTAACCTGAAGGGTGTGGCTTTGACCAACCAAAATCAAATCCAAAGTAAAGAACTCTAAGTAACTGCTACATGTAGAAGTAAACCAAATGTTCTTTTTGCTGGTCAAAAACATTTATAGCAGTTGTCTTACATAGCAGCCATAGTCATTTGCATATGTTAATACATTTAAATGTAAGTATTTTTACATGACCTGGCACTGAATTTAAACCAACCACAGCAGCCAAAGAAAGCCTCAATATACTAAAATCCAAAACCTGCAAAATTAAACATTATGGAATACAAATTATTTTCCCTAATATTTTAGGACTAATTTACATACAGGAGAGAATGAGGAGGGAGGGAAGGCAGCATGGTATAACCCAACCTCCTCAGATCTCGGAAGCTAAGCAGGGGCAGTAATTGGATGGGAGACCAGCCCACCAAGGAAGGCTCTGCAGAGGAAGGCAATGGCAAACCCCCTCTGCTTCTCACTTGCCTTGAAAGTAGGGTTGCCAAATGTTTTTTGGCCAGGAGCGGGGGGCTCCCGGCCGGCGTCTTAGGCATGCGCGCGCGTCGCGTGTGCGTCACCCGGAAGTGACGTCGCACGCTGGGGGCGGGGCCACGCCATTTGAGGGGAAAACTCCTTGTTGTGGAGATTGCTTTCGGAGAAGTATGTAGACTGGTTCATAGTAAATTCACTGGACTATGGGTTGTAAACATGCAGTCAGCCCAGAAAAAGTACCAAAATCTTAACAGTGTTTTTACTTGCTTACTACATGCTAATTTAAAAAAACAACAACCCAGCTTTGAAAACTATCTAGTGGAGAAAGTTGACATAGATACAGATCTTAGTAATTCTGATGCCTCATGCCTACTGGCCGGAAAGGAGGACATTGTTAGCTTTGTGTGGCATCAACCACCTAAGTTGGTTGTGCTGTGAAAAACATTTCTCCCTCCCGTCATTCTCTGCAATGCACATAGCAAGACTACTGCAGACAGTCACATGCCATGCCTGATTCTACCAGCTAATGGGAGCAGAAATGTGTCACTAGCACTTACAGAATAGTAGGCTGAAAAGTTTGCATGCTGTTCCAGCACTGTCAGAAGATTTCCAATGCAGGTATAGCCATCACCAGTAAACCCATCGCTGCAGTCACAGCGTACATCTGAAACGGAGAAACAAGAGTGAGACTTGCCAACATTTCTATGTAAGGCAAACTTCACTACACACCTGGGAGGCTAACGGAACCCAGGGAAGAGAGGGCAAAGATTGACCTGAAAGTCTTTTGGCTCAGTCTCCAATTCAGCTCTGTCAGGGTACGGGATTTCATATTCATCCCCGCTCATCCTTGAAAATCACTGAGCCAGTTATCTCTCTCAGCTTAACCTGCCTCACAAGGTTGCTGGTGTGGTAAGAAATTTTAGAAATATAGAAGGTTTGGGTTTAAAACTGAACCTAATAGTTTATGAAATCCATATATCTGTCTCTGACTTTGCTAGCAAAACAGCAAACAGGCTTGGCCTGCCTCATTGAACCAAACCCTTTGTCCCAGGAAAAACTCTTTCTTGGTCACACACGCAAAGATGTAACACATTCCATTCCCAGGATCTGAATCAGTGTAAATCTCCACAGGTGTGAGACCCACAATTTCCTAGGCAATAAACGGCAGCTGGCCAGGAAAAAGCCATTTGGGCAGTGACAGACTCCAATCCAAAATGCAAACCAACTCCTGAGATACAGGAATTCACATACCCCACTTCCACCTCAGTTTATCCCCAATGGTGGGAACACCAGAAAAACAATAACACTATACTGATCTGGTAAATAAAAGTGTAACTTTTGTTGTGTGAGACCAAGGAAGCAATTTTCTGTAAAACAATTTCAACTTCTAAATGTTAATTTACAACTGTAATTTGATTATTGAGGGACCTCTTTGATCATTTGGTATAAATACTGGTCAGATCCAACAGACTTTCTTGAAGGAGTCTTGAAGGAGTCAGCCCGAAAGGCCTTTTGTTTTCTGCATGCTTTGGGGTGGGATACTTTGCTTGCATGTTCATTTTCTGTGTATTCACTACCTGCATTTAGGAAACAGAAGTATACTGTGTTGGCAAACTGGCATAGCGTCTTGCTGGCTACCTTGTCAGGTAAACTTGTGAATGTTTGCCTCTTAAATAAAGATAAGTTTTATTGGAAGAAGAGACCCTTGTTTGAGTGTCTCTGCCAGTCTTTAGTGGTTTCCAAACTTGTACCATTGGTACACTGCCTTTGGTAAGGAGGCAACACTCAGGGGACACACGAACCAGGAGAGTGTGGGTGGCAAGGGTAACAGCGCATTTACAGACACGTGCAGCCACACATTTTTCTCCCAACAGCTGGGAGGGTAAAATGGGAGTGTGCAGAACTCACAACTGTCACCCTGATCTTAGGGTTGCCAGGTCTGGGCTGGAAAATACCTGGAGACTTTGGGGGTGTATCCAGGAGAGGGTGGGGTTTGGGGAGGAGAGGGGCCTCAGCATGGTACAATGCCACAGAGTCCACCCTTCTAAGCAGCCATTTTCTCCAGGGGAGCTGATCTCTGTCAGCTGGAGATCAGTTGTAAAAGCGGGAGATCTCCAGGCCCCACCTGGAGGCTGGCAACCCTACCTGATGTCCAGGGAGGAGGCAGAAGAGTGATAACAATGTGAAAGATTAATATCCTCATCTGGCAGAAAAAGCAGGCAGAATTGCTTTATAAGGCCCTCTCACCTTTAGCTCTGTAACAGTAAGCGTCCCAATTCTCACTGGCGTCACTTCGAAATCCATAATTCACAATGCCAACATGGTTAGTGCCACATTTTGCACTTGGGTACACTGTTGGGTAGCCTGCGGTCCTGTTAAATAGCCATCCCACTATGCACAGGTGGAAACCCATCTGAGGAAGGAAAGAAAAACAAGACAGGCTCCTCTTAGCTGCCCATATTTTAGGCTGTCAGTACCTTGAGTAAGGTTCTCCCATTACATTTCACTTGGCCTTTATACACTGTGTAGTCATGTCTCTCAAATCGCTGAGTCTGGGTTGGCCTGGAGGCAGTCGCGTTTTCATTCTGAGGGGCATCTGCATGAGCCTTTATTAGCCAAACAGTGCAGTCAGAATCTCACAGGGTAAAAACAGCACCCTTGCTCTCACATGCTGGTTTGTTCATAGTTTAACATTGGCTCTCAGAAAGAACAGATCAACATCCTATTCAGTCTGGCTTCCCCTCTCCAATCCAGCTTCCAGTTCCATGTTTGTCCTGAACAATACCCTGACTAATGAATTGTCACCAGGAGAGAGGCAAGGGGGATAACCGCCAGGGCTTTTTTTCTGGGGGAATACACTGGAACCTCTTCGACAAAATTCTTTTAAAAATTATGTTTAAAACATCCACAGTAGAGCCACCTTTTGAAACAGGCACTTTCAACATGATGCACCTGATCCTTGAGGGGGTTATGACATCACCCAGCTGAACACTTAGGTCCTCCTGAGGCAAATAAACCAAAGGCTGACCAATGGAGGCAGTCGCTCAGTATTTATCAGCAAAAGGTCAAAGAGGCACAGAATTTTGACAGGAGAACAACTGAACTCTCCAGGCCCACGGGAAGGCAAAATAAACCTGTGACCGTGTCTGAGGCACTGCCTGCCGCATTACCTGCTGTGCAGCAGACAGCTGCTGAATGGTGGCCAAGGTAGCTCCCTCAGCTGCACAGCTGGCTTCAGCCTCTTGATAAGTAAAGTTGTACTTTCCATAGGGGGACTGGAGGTGGAAGACGCCAACTGTTTTGTCTGGAGAACAATAATACAACATTGTGGCAGTTTTAGTATCATTTCAGTCAAATTTGGAGACATGCTGTTTTGTCATGTCCAGTCTCCAGCCATCACCAAATCCAACTTCAGAAAGCAAACAATTGTAGGCTGCAAAATTTCTTCTGATTGCAAGACCTTTTAAAGATGATGTGTAACATAAATGGCTGTAGCAAAGACAGGAATGATAGTGGAAAAGGAAGGAGATGGAAGAGGAGAACAACAGGCATATAATCAAGGAGGCAGGAATAATAGCCTTGAGCTCTCTGGTGCAATGGATAAAGATGTCACAGTGGTTAGGGAAAGTGAGTATCAGCAACAAAAAAAGCAACCAGAAAAATTTGGAACTCAAAGGATGGAAGCCTATCAAGGAGGTATAATGGTACAACAAATAAGGAAAATCCTGACGGTAGTTGGAAGGGTAGACCTTTTTATTTGCATGCAGGGAATATCTCTAATTATGCTAGTTTAATTTATAGCGTTTTCATACATAGGAGCAACACGCCCCCCACCCCCAGCCCGGTATTATGGAGGAGAGGGAGTTGTTATGAAACAAAATCTATTTTATAAGTTACAGAACAGAAACTTGTACCATGAAAATGCAGGTCAGTACAGATTGCGTCAAAGTGGCAATGCCCATTCTCGTCTAAGCAACGGTCTGTGGGGGGGATAGCTTCCTCCATGCACTGCACTCCATTTCCAACGTAACCATCTTTGCACTCACACCGCCGAGTATTCTACGAGGAAATTTTTTTGGTAAGATTATTTCAAAAATGTTGTCATGTGCCTTGAGTCTCAGCAAGACAGACAGACTATACATATAGTAAATAAATAGTAAAAAGAACAACACAATAAGAACCACCATCACTAGGTGCAAGCTGATAGAAAATCATTAAATAAATGGGGGGTCGTAGGGTTTTTTAAGTGCAGAAGGCATCGTGGGTTTAATTCCTGGGTTAGACTGTAAACTTGATTGCCCTTCAAAATATATTTATAGCCTAATATAGAAATATAATATGATCTGCCGTGATCTGGTCCATAGGGTCGCAAAGAGTCGGACTCGACTGTGCGACTGAACAACAACAAAATAGAAATCATAAAAATATACAAAGATTGCAGGCATATGTTTTGTGGAAACTGTAGTGGCCTATTTGTCACTTTTTCAGAAACTGGAAACCTGCTGTTGGCAGAAATTATTGGGTCAGACGGTGCCCTTCCTGGCTGCTGAGGTGCCATGGGGAGTTTTTTCCAGTATGGAGCACAAGGAGGACCGAAACAAACAAACTAAATATTGCTTTTCCCACTGCAAACTCGTTTTGCACAGGAAAAGATCCAGTTTCTATCTCCCAGCACAAGATGCCTTTGAATTCTTTTACCAAAGTTCAGAATGAGAGGAGACTTTAGTGCAAAAGTTCACTTTTTTGTAGGGATCCCATCCTCCAAGTGGGCCCTGGGGGATTCCCCTGGAATTACAGCTCATCATACTACAGAGATCAGTTCCCCTGGAGAAAATGGATGCTGGACTCTATAGCACTGTGCCCCACTGAGGTCCCTGTCCTCCCCAGGCTCCATCCCCAAATCCCCAGGAGTTTCCCAACATGGATCTGGCAAGCCTACGCCCCCTATTCCTCACCAGTGGCCAGGAGGACCTGGAAACCCTATGTCATAACTAGGATTGCCAGGTCTGGGTTGGAAAATACCTGGAGACTTTGGGGGTGAATCCTGGAGAGGGTGGGGTACAATGCCATAGAGTCCACCCTTCAAAGCAGCCATGTTCTCCAGGGGTAAGAACCACACAAAAATGGAAATACAGCAAATAAGCTGTGCAAACAAAAACCAGAATACTCTGTCACTCTGTTCAAATCACACTTGAGACTACTGTCTTCTTGTATAGTTCTACTTACAACCATAAATGATACACATAACAAATGGTTTTGCCACCATGCACAAATGACATCTGCACCGGTTGAATAGTGACCTAAGAGTCCTTGAAAGTACAAGTCTCTCTTCAGAATGATGCGGTCACCGGCTCATGGTGCAGAGAAGAGTTTCCAAAAGAAAACATGCAGTAGATGGCATGGGCTCAAAACTAGGTGTAGCGCGAACCAAAGGAGTGGCCACGGCACACCTAGGTTGCTTTGCCGTTTCTTAGGGCTTCATCAGGCCGCTTTTCTTAGTGATGGAGTTCAACCCAGCTCTGGCAAGATTCAAAATGACATGAAGCCTACAAGTATGTTCCAAATGGCTTGGGATCATTCCTAGCTATTTGGAACATACTTGTAGACTTCATATTTTGAATCTTGCCAGAGATGGGGTGAACTCCATCACTTGGAGAAGTAGCCTGATGAAGCCCTAAGAAACGGCAAAGCAACCTGGGCGTGCCGTCGCCACTCCTTTGGTTCGTGCTACAGCTAGTTTTGAGCTCATGCCATCTACTGTGTGGTTGTTGTTGTTTTGGAAACTCTTCTCTGCCACCATGTGTATCAGTTATGGTTGTAAGTAGGACTGTATAAGAAGACATTAGTCTCAAGTGTGATTGGTACAGCGTGACAGAGTATTCTGGTTATTTGTTTGCATTTTATCCAGGAGAGCTGATCTCTCTCAGGTGGAGACAAGTTGTAAAAGTGGGGATCCCCAGGCCCCACCTGGAGGCTGGCAACCCTAGTCATAACTAAGCTGGAAAAACATCTGCTTCCTATATTTAGTTGCAGACATACAGGGTGCTGCCAAAGAAGGAAAGAAAATTTATTACAGAGTTGGAATGTATTAGCTATTCCATATCTAGCTATGTATCACCCCTCCTTCCCACTCCCACAGTAAACAACTCTTGCAAAAAGCCACCAAACAGAAACTTCTCAAGTAGCCACTCGCAGCAGGTGCCCTTCTGTGTAGAAGGGATCTTTTCCCAATGCAGTGCTCTACTTACAGGACCTGTGCTGATGCAAATGGCGTGCTCACTGCAGTCCCCGTTGCTGCCATCTGCACACCGGTCGACAGGGCTGCAGAAGTAGCCATCACCCTGATAATCTGGTAAGCAGGTACAGGAGACGTCTGTTCCAGTTTGCGTGCAGTTTGCATGGTCACTGCAGCCTCCGTTATCATCGCTGCAGTAGTCAATCACTGCAGCAGAAAAAACAACAGTAAAGTGTCTCTGATTGTGATGCTGCATCGAAGAGGAGCAAGGCTGACCCAGTAGTGGTTAGGCCGCCTCAGGGGGTACTAAGGTACTTCTGATTTCAACTCTTAAATGATAATTTCTCTCCTAAATAATTTTTAATCCCATGCGTAACGCAAATAGTCTCATTGCTATGACTCAGTTTCAGAAGACAAACTGCTAAAAAAACAGAACCTGAGAGTCAAAGTTTTGAATTGCAGAAAAAGCCCTTAGGCCAGGAGAGAAAGCTCTGTAAACAGTACCAGAGTTGTGTCCCATATTTTAAAAACTGGAGAGAAGTTTGGCACAGATGACTTATGTTTAGCTTCAGTGCTCATCTCAGAAGTCATCTGCCACACCAGTTCTTAGTAAATTTGGAGTAACAGTTCTCTCTATGGAGTATTCTAGGTAAGAAGGAGATTCTAAGGCCACATCGTCTACAAAGTAACTGGTTTGTTTTTGTATTTACTAGCCCTAAAGATATTTGAGAGAATGCTTGTAATTCTGTGGTAATGAGATGGGCCGACTGGCCATTAAGGCCACCAGGAACAGTCCTGGTGGACTGATGGGCTAGGGTCGGGTCACCCAAACCCAGGGGCCACACCCCCACCAGAGTCACCCCAGCCAAAAGAGAGGGGTGGGTGTAAGCCAAAGGTGTAGGTAAGGGGGGCTTGTCATGGAGTGGGATGCGCCTTCCCAGCCTAACCTCACCACAGCAAGGCACATCTGTGTCTGCCTGGCCTCACCATGGTGAGTTGGTTTGCTAACCTCCAGTGGTGGCTGGAGATCTCCTGCTATTACAACTGAACTCCAGCTGACAGAGATCAGTTCACCTGGAGAAACTGGCCGCTTTGAAGGTGAGCTCTATGGCATTATACCCCACTGAAGTCCCTCCCCTCCCTAAACCCCACCCTCCTCAGGATCCACCCCCAAAATCTCCAGGTATTTCCCAACCTGGAGCTTGCAAGCCTAACGGTGAGGGACAGGATGAGCCTGAAGTGGGCAAGGGACAGTACCAAGGCGAGCTGTGGTGGGGCCATTTTCCAGGGCCATTCTGCCCCCCCAATCTGACCTGGGTGGTGGACCTTAGAACTATAATTCCCATCATTCCTTAGAATGAAGTTGTGACCAACAACCCAGTTTACATTTGTAATAACATGTCTCACTGAATCTTGCACGATAAAATGGAAACGTAAAAAGAAAAATGATGGCGTACTCTAGGAGTAGGCCATCTTCAGCATGTCTGACAAAAGTGGATACCTTGGGCCCAATCCAAAACGGGCTCTGGCACACTTGAGATCTTTGGTTCCCTGATGTCACATTTGTCTGTGCAAAGATCAGAATCTGGATGGCGGAACCATGAACTGACACGTGCCAGACATAACATCTAGTTTGAACCAAGGCCATGATACATGTTAGTATGCTGGAATAAGTTATTTTAGGCTGCATCACAACCTGGGAAAAAAATCTGTTTTTCTTAGGGATACCATCTTAATAGTTAATGGCTTTCAAAATCACCCCCAATACATCAAGAGTCCTCACAATTTGACACAGATCCAAACACTGGGTTTATCATGCTGCTGCGGTCATACCTGTGCATATTCTCCCATCTCCTTCATAATGCAAGTTGCATTCACAGGTATTATTAAATCGACACACTCCATTACGATGGCAGGCTGGGGAACACTTGGATATCACAGCTAGACATAAAATTAATCAGGAAAATCAGCCAAAGTAGCTTCCATTTTCAGTTTCAGAAATCATGTTACCCATCATTTCACATAGCTTTTCAACTGAAATTGGTTTTCAAAGTCCTAATCTAAGAAAATGTCTTTCTAGCCAAGAAAAAAAACTTCATTTAAAACACACACACACACAAACATTTTCTTTTGCCAAAATAGCTAAGAAAACCAAAAATTCAAGTGACAAAACAGATGAACATCGCCACAAAGATGACAGAACAGCCTTTCCTCTAACTCAACT